TAGTGAAAATAGATTTACAAGATCATTCTAGTGAAAATAGATTTACAAGATCATTCTCCAAATATGGAAAGGAAAAGTAGACATCAAAGGAAACCTACCTTATAAACTGTCCCAAATCCTCCTTGACCGAGCTTGTTTGCTTCAGCAAAAGATCCTGTAGCCTTCTCAAGGGTAGAATACTTGAAGTTTAAGCTACTGTCATTAAGGCTTTTCACCAGATTTCTGGCATCATTTGATCCTGCAAATGAAATTTGCATTTTTGGTCATATGAACTTAACCTGTATAAACTCCATATTCTGGTAAATAAACATTTTACCTTTTCTTTTCTTTTGTATATGTCTCTGCTTCCTTATATGAACTCCAATAGCTACTGCAACTCCCAAAACAACAAGGCTGCTGACAACAGAAATTATTATCACTATAACGGTTCCTGCCAATTCATCAAAGTAAATCTAGAATTAGCCCTAGTGCTTGAAAAGCTCCATCTTAGTCTAGGTAATATATGTTTGCAAAATTCACAAAAAGAATAGGAACAGTACTACTTTTCTACCTCCTGAACTTCCATTTCCAGTTTCAGGTACTTTGTTGAGGAAATCTTTGTCCGAGTACATCATGAAGCATCCTGTGTTAAGAGCTCTCCCCTCTGACCAAGGCAAGCATCCTAATATGGATGGGGATGCGTTCTCTAAACACAATCTGCAAGAATTCTCCCTCAATGACCTCCAGCAGTTTGCCAAGACATAAGCTGATTCATTTGTCCCAGGAACAGCCACCTGAGCATGTGCGTACCCTTTATTGCCCGGTGCAGCTGCAACAGCACGGTTCACAGCATCTGTTGCTGATTTTTTAAATGCAGAACTTTTCCTGGTTGTGTTGCCACACACTGCCCTGTCTTCAGGCCCTGTATACTCCTGGAAGAAGCTATAATTTCCAGACCGCATGAAGCACCCATCAAGAAAAATGCGACCGCTATTGTGGGGATAGCACTGAGGAAGAACCGTCCGAGCCACTGCATAGCATAACACACAGTCAAGCGAAGAGAGATCTCCATAACACTGAGCCAGAGCGTAGTCAGCATCAGGTCCTGAACCCGCAACTACTTGTCCAAAACCTGTCGTACGCATCTGTTCACTGATATTCTCCATTGCAACAACAAAATTCTGAACAAAGATGCTTCTGTTATTCTCCAGTTGGGGGCCGCACGTAAGTTGGAATGTCTGCGTTCTTGGATCTCCCCCTACTCTTTCATGCAGTGTCACAGCTCCCATAAGCAGCAACAAAAAAATATATCGGCTGCAGACTAGTGAAGCTGTTTGCTCCATTCTCTGCTGGATGTGTGCACTGAAACAACTATTCTCTGTATTTTATTACAACTACAAATAAATAGACAAAACAGGAATTAAGTAGCCAACCATTTCTAGCATGGTTCCTAATGTAAACGGTGGTATGAAGGCAACGCACTCTTTCTCTTGCTATTAACAGAGGAAGTTCTTGGTTAATTGAGGAATTTGAACCTAACCTTAATTTCATAATCGGCAATTTCAAAGTTTTGAGGTTAATAGGTATTAATTAACTCGCTAAATAAACACTCTTTTAATGCATTATATATACCAGCTTATTACTAAAATGGGAAGTGAAAATCACCATTTTTACCCCATTTTGATTGGCAACTAAGAAAGGTCGTTGAAATCGAAATATGATGTGAAAGGAAAGCGATGGAAGTTGAAAATGCTACCCCCACAATGGGTGGATTAATTAGCTAGGTTCGTAGGCACTGGCATCATTAATGCCTGAGAGCATCCCACAACCAACCTTGCTAGTATTTCTACTACAAAAGTTAGACCTTCTTGGTGGTAGGTTTTTAAAGACGTTTTTAGCTTTAAAAGCCTAGAATGTGAAATTACAAAATTTGTAGCATTTAAATCAGAATTCTACTACGCCTCTGTCGGCCCTTTGGTTAAGACAGAGTTCTATTGAGTTTATGAGTTCAATAATTTTATGGCAATTATATATAATATTATATAAAATTATAAATTTATATTATAATATATTATTAAATAAATATATATAATATTATAAATAATTTTTTTTAAAATTAACTATATTATAATATATTATAATAATAAATTTTTATTTCATCATGTAAAATTATAACTAAAAAAAAAGAGGACACTATACTCGAGCTGTAATTCTACGAGGAAAAAAGCCAAACCATGGTTACTAACCAGACTCTATTATTATAATGGCCAAAAGAGAAAAGAGGAGTTTAGGACACATAACGCATCAGCCAATCATAACTAGCCAACAAAGCATACCAAATGCGAGCATTTATGCAGGTGGACCAATAGCCAAAAGGTTTTATTCTCTAGAGAAAGAAGAAGAACAAAAAAAACAGAGAGATAAGGAATGTTCCACTGTTGAACTCTTGAGAAATCCAGGAAGAGAGAAAATAACAAATCCACCATTTTCTTCAACTTATATAAACATGTAAATGAAACAATCCCTTTCTATGATTGAATTACAAAGAAACTTTTTTTTTTTTTAATCAAATTTCTCAAGGAAGGCGAAAGCCAAAACAGAACGGAATTCAGTTCAAGGAACACAGAATCGGCAAAAGAAGATCCATCGGTGTCAAAGTAAGTAAGAAATCTTACCTTTTTTTTTATGCGGTGGAGCTGGAGGAGATAGCTGAAAATCTTGAGATCGAGTTCCGTTTTCAATTCTTTTGCGGAGGAAAGATGCAAGAAGGCGCTGCTGCTGGTTGTAGAAGTTGGAGGAATTAAATCTGTCCAAAATTTTGCTGAAAAGTCAGAGTGAAAGACTTTTGGGTACAAAACTGGGGAGAAAAAAATGTTTTTTTTTTTTTTTTTCAAAAAATAGTAAGAATACAGAGAACGCGGTAACGAAGCTTCTAACTTCTTTTCTGGTAGACTTAAAATATGGGTGCCGTTGACGGTTCCCACAATCTTCTCCGAAATTACTTTTGCTGGTTTTTATTTTACTTTATATATTTCAAAATAATTATAAATTTTTATTTTTTAAAA